CTTGGAACAGTTGGAAAGGAAGATTCAGTGAATTCAATGCTTTCATGATTTCACCTGCAGCACGTTCTCACCGGCAAGGAGTGGGAATGGAGGCCCTATCCCGTTGAGATCGTCGACGGGGCCTGAGGTCTATGGATTGAAGGACCTGCCAATGAAAGAAAAAGTAAAAGTTAAAGAAGACAAGGTCTTGGCACTCAGAGCTTATGAGACGGCCAAGCGTGCTCACGAGGAGGACAAACCGTAGCTTCCTGAACAACCGCGTGAACGCGAAGGCAAGGCATCCATGTTCAAGCTGGTGGAGTTCAAAACTTTACTAGCTGAAGAGGGCGTTGTCAGATGCACCTTTGCGCAGTGCAGGTTCGGGGCAATTGCAGAGACGTTGACAGATCTAGTCGGCAACATTGAAGGTCTGGAGGAATTCCGTTGTGCAATCACCCAAAACGGTGGTGGCGTGTGCCCTGGAGCGGAAGATGGATCCATGCTGCACACCCGCCGCTCAAAAGGAAGACAGCGTGCCTGCAGCACAGCGGAGGCCTCCCACGAGGAGGCCCAAAGAACCCAGGGGATTACATCACAAGACAGGCAGCAGCTCATCCCAAACAGATGAACAAAGCATTGGCTGGGGCATTCATCAGAGGTCAAAGCAAAAGTCGCACCTTGAGAAGGTGATTCGAATGACCGCTGCCACAGACCAGCATAAACAAGTTGATGACAGGCTCAGCCTTCGGAATGTCCATTCGTGGCTCACTGACAGAGCTAGATACATTGGTGTGCAAGTCTCGGAACGTCATCGAAGAGGAGCTAACAGCAAAACCGGAAGTCGAGCAACCGTTGTGGCTGAACATTACAGAGCACCAGTGCCCGGCGGATGTTCTGATACCAGAGCAGTGTTTTGACCGTGTCAGAGCAAGAATCTTGGAATTACTAGTTCAGAATTTGGAGGGCAAGGTGGACAAGAGCTGTTCAATACAACCTGTTGACACAGAGTGTTGCGCAACAGTTATCAGAGCGTATTTGTTGGAAGCTTGGGCTACAGTTGTGGATGATCCCGCTACGTCAGTAGCATCTTGGCTTTACGAAGGAGCGCCCGCAGGACTTGCAAGGCACTCTACGATGGAGTCTTCCCTTCGACCGAGTCAGAAGAGAGCCAACTTGAAGTGGAGGATCTGTCTACAGACCTGGGCAACTTTCAGAACTACTCTGGCGCTGACGAGGATGAAGAGGCCGTCCAAGCGTTGGAGAGCTACTATGAGAAGGGGAACCTGGCCAGGTTTGACACCCTTCGCCAGCTTCAGGATCACTTGGGTGATGAACCCGTGCTGTCAAAGCTTGCGCGCCTCAAGAAGCAGAAGTTCAATCCTGATACGGGACAATATGCGCAGAAGAACAGGATCATTCTGGACTGCGGATGGAACGGCGTCTCCCCAACGTCGGTCCGGAAACACAAGAGCGTGTTGCCACGGACCACTGATGCAGTGTCGTCTGCGTTGGAGTCGCTGGACATGGCTCGAGATGAACAACAATTGCTTGCAAAATTTATACATAGCTGACATTGTTGATGCATTCTGGCTGATCCCTCTGCGTAGGGATGAGAGAAGGTTCTTTTGTGCAAAGTTGCGTGACAAATATTACATGTTCAACCGAGCAGCGCGGGGTTCGAGGATGGCACCTTTGATTTTTGCTGCAGTGATGACACTCGCTTCCAGATGGGTGCCTTTTGGTGATCTCGCACCAGTGGAGCGTGTTCAAAGGCATGGCTTGTGATGGGTTCCCGCTGGCATTTCACAAGGCCACATTGTCGCGCGTGCTCACTTGGAGGTCACGGTGCCAAAACGACATTGCTGGAACAAGTGCCGACGTCCAATGTCACCTCTATCAAATCATTGAGGACACTGATAGGGAACCACAGTTGTGGTAACATGGGGCGCAAGTCCATATGCATGGGTGCCACTCTGCACGTTGATGGTGACGGCCAAGGGCCGGAGGTGTGGGAAGCATTGGCAGGACTGACTGCCATGAGGCAATGGGCGTCATGGTGGCAGCGCAGACACATTGCTGCAGGTTAGAAGCGACAGCGTGGGTCGCTCTTTTCGACCCTGAAAGCCAGCTCGCCTGCGCTTGACTTGATCGCTCGGGAGTTCGCTCTACTGCAACGTGCAGACCTCAAATGCTCATGCGCGTGCCGGGCATCACCAACACCATGTGTGATGCATTGTCCAGAATCAATCAACGATCCAAACAATGACCCTTACTCTCCGGACAAGCGTGATGGAGCCAATGGGGAGAGATACGCAGTGCAGCGCCCTGAGGTCACCCTGTGTACTATGTCTTCAGGGGAGCAATAAATAATCAATGTCCTTAACCCCCGATTTGTTTTGGAGGGTTGCTCAGGTGAGTCTGCCCTGGTGCAGGTCTGGCCCTGAGCTGCGCTGGCCTTGAGGGGGTTGGGGTCTGCAGTTCCAAAACCATTGCGCAGGGATAAGCCAATCAGGCCTCGGTTGAAGACATCATGGCGAGTGGTCCCAACGGTCGAGGTGCTTGAATTTGATGAAAGACATGTATGCCTACTCGAGTCGGGCCACCAGAGACTCTCAGCTGAACGCGCGGACCACCTTTCATCGCCTGTGGTTCGGAGAAGAGTCCTCGGACGGCCGCTACTCATGACCGCCACACACGGAGCCGGTGGACTGGATCGGTTTCCCAACGGCTGGCCTTGGCCACTGGATGAAGACAAGTTGGTTCGTGTTTCGGGCTTGTTCAAAGCGGCTGGCTACAAGTCGTATAAGAACTATCTCCCGAGGGCAAAAAAACACCATGTAATGCTGGGGTTTTGCTGGACTGATCGCCTGGACATCTCAGCAAGGAAGTGCTCGAGGTCAATGCTGAGGGCCTCAGCTGGTGCTTCTGGGTCAGAAGCCTTTGACTTGGCTAGAGTGATGGGAGCTCTCACCGACAGTGATGGCCCCTTTCACCAAGAGGGACCTGTACGTGTTAGGAGCCTCATCGCGTGTGCGGCCATGTTCTTGCCACGAGAAGTTGAAGCCTCGGCGATTGACGTGGCAGACCTCACTCTGTCACAGACCGAAGTATCTCTGAACCTGCCCATCTCCAAAGTTGATTGGAAGGCAAGAGGTTGCGTGAGATCTTGGACATGCGGCGTGCGTCTGTGACACTCGACTCCCGTGCCCCTTTCACATCCTGCGACACCGCTACCAACAGCTCGAAGCCTTCAGAAAGTCGCGTGGTGAGGCAATCGAACTTGACAGCCCGCTGTGTGCAAGATCCCTGCCGAGCAATGGACTTGACCCCATCACCATTCAACTCATTGGAAGGTGGGGGTCTGACGCTGTCTTGACCTACCTCGCTGAAAGCCCTCTCGAAGGTTTCGCAGACAAACTTCTTGGCTCGCCAAGACTGGTTGATCCTGTGGCAAGGAAGAAGGCTCTGCAGAATCAAAGCACCTTGGACATGAAGGTCGGGCTTGACAGCCTGGTGATTGAATTCAACAGGTGCACTGCACTGCTGACCTAAAGCAAGTTCAAAACCCAACAAAAGCTTTGCAGAAAGGTATGACCGAAACCAATGAAGTGCTAGATGGAGTAGCAATTGTTTTAGATAGTCGACCGCCGGCAGAGCTGTGGACAATCGACAATGAGACACCAGGCGTTAGACACCTGGCCTTCGAACATTTTGGGTTAAAATGTCACCCAGATGTAAAAACCTCCTCCTCCGAGTCTGAGTCCGGTACAGATTCGGATGATTAGAAGAAGGGTAAATGTGGGCGCATGAATACACGCGCCAATCTCTCCTCTCTGATACCCACATTGTTGGAGACGTGTGGGTCTGGCTGAGATGGGTTGATGATACTCATCGATTTGCAGGGAGGAGGGCGGGAGAATGTTCTGGTTTCCTCGATGTTCCGAAATATAAGAGCAAGACGCTAAAAGCTTGGAGAGACTAGGTTTGAAAAGGCAAATATGTGGCGGCATGTCATTTCGGCCAATTATGCCCGTAGCCAAAAAATACAATTCAAGGAATCCTCAAATATCAGGCAGATTCGCATCAAAACCCACCTTATTATAAAGATGCGCAAATTCAGATAATACACCAACCACCACTCATTCATAATCCAACTCAAACTGAAACCCTTTACGCAACGACACAAACTCAAACGTAAAGTCTGGGATGCGTGTCGAAAGAAGAACACATACGGCGTCACGCATGACCCGTTTGAAAATTAGGTGCTTGCAATTTTGTTTACTCCAGTGCTGCCCCAGTTAATTTGCCCGCTGGAATGCCTAGTGCAGATGTTCCTGCTAGCAGTCCTGCAAGTTTGGTAGGTAGTTTCTAACATCATGCACATACCTCGTACCGGCAAAGGGCAACGTCCAAAGAAAAACATAATTTTTGCTATATATTAGTGTTGAGTTGTACCGGCTAAGTGACTTGGTGTACCTATATTCCTATATAAGTGTCTGACATTTCCGCCACAAACTGAAAGTGAGGTCGTTGCTGCCATGGCAAATTATTTCACTTGTGAATCGCCTCAAGCGGTTGCTTCAAAGCACCCTGAGGCTGACATGTTCTGTTTCGGCTTGCAAGTTTTTGTCAGCGCTTTGTGCGGAACACTGTTTTCTTCGCTTCTGTGTAGGAATGGCCCCTATTGGCGAAGAATGTGCTGAGTGCGCTTGGAAACTCTCGAGTCGCAACGAGAGAGGCATTTGATGCGCGCAGCAGTCCGATCGAATGGTGCATCGTTTTGGATTCCAGGCAGCAATCCATGCTGCACAAACTCTATTCCGTGGTAGGCAGTGGTTTGAGGCTCCAAAGCGTTTTTTTAAGAATTGACTTTGCAGATCCAACATTTTGTTGTGTGCTGAAGATGCTTGAAGGTTGCTTTCATATTTGATGAGCTTTGGACCATCACGGTGAAACTACTGGATGACCCTGTCTCAGATGGTCGACGGTAGACACAACGGTTGTGGCAGAACACCAAGGACATGGAAGAGAGAATCCAAGCTGTTGTCCCAGCCTCACGTTCATTGGCAAACAAAGAGCTCAACTGACAGTTACTCAAGCCTGCAAAAGTGCCACCAATGCTCAAGGCAGAGTAGTTAATTGCCTTTTCACATTGTTTGCTGATGCAGCAGATTTGTTGCGCGAGGTCAAACCTTTTGTTCGAATGATGAAGAACTTGACGTTGAGGCCACCAAAGGAAGGAGTTTAGAGTCTAGAGTTTTGTGTTTTTCGGTTTCGGTAGGCTCAGTAGAGTTGACCTGCAAGTCTCGCTCCCGCGCTTCAGGCTTTGTGATGTCAAGGTCACAGCCCGAAAGGACGGAAGGGAGTCCTTGCGTGCCAAATAGTCATTGTTTTCTTGTGTTGTGCCAGTTGCAGGATGTCCAGACCGCGATGGGAGAAATTGTGCCATTGTTGTTGCGCTTTTGCGAGTCTTGGGCTTCTGGCCTGATTGAAACTGATGAATCGATTGTATCCAACCCTTTGAGGCAGTACAAGCATGCGCAGCCTGTTTGCTTTGACCTTATGAGGCCAAAGTCCGCATCGCCGTTTGACTTTCTCGGGTACAAACTCCTCTGCCTTCGTAGGAGTGCGGTAGTGAACCTAAAAGCTCAGCCAAGAGTCAAGAGTTGAAGTGAGCAATTGACATATTTCTGACATTTTCTGATCGTATTCATGCAGTGCAAGCACAGGTATGTCTACATGTATTTGCATGTGGGCTGACAACCAAAGGTACGCACACTTAAGAAGGTTGCTTGGAAGCGAGCATATCCAAGGTTATGTGGAAAACTCATTAGAACTTCAACACGATGTATTGCATCAGCTGCTTAGTGCTTTACCAGATTAGTGCATGACTGCCGATCAAAGCCTCGAAAACAGTCTTGGAAAACGGCAGAGAGAAACAACCGTTTCTGAACACCGGATAAGCCGGTACGTGACCGAAGCGTCCTTCGAAGCTTCGTTGGATCAGGCCAAGCCAAACGTCCCTCCCCCTCTGCTACTTGTACTGTGAAACTTAAAGTCTTGGACTAGAGAGGAAGGCTCAGCAAAAAGAATTTCGAGAGTGAAGAAGAAAGCCTTCAGCAACAGCACGTCACACGCACACCCACCCACCCACCCACCCACCCACCCACACACACACACACACACACACTTACGCGCACACCCACACACCCACACACACACTTATAGAAATGTGTACGGAGGTGATTGCGGTTGCCACACGCCAACCTACAGTAGGTTAAAAAATGGCCTGAGTAAAACGGCAAAGGTAGGTTAGAGGCCATCGCTAGGAAGTTGGAGGCCATCGCCCAAGTTTGGAGGCCATCCAAGCAACAAGGTTGGAGGTCATCGCTACTGGTTGGAGGCCATAGCACCAGGTTGGGGGCCAGCGCTACTAGTTTACAAGACACGAACTGAAAGCAGCGTCAAACAACAGTTGGAGGTCATCGCTAGTACGTTGTTGGAGTTGGACGTCATCGCTAGCACGTTGGAGGCCATCGCACCAGGTTGGAGGCCAGCGCTACTAGTTTACAAGACACAAACTCAAAACACAAACTCAAAACGCATCAAGCAACAAGGTTGGAGGTCATCATTAGCACGTTGGAGGCCATTGCACCAGGTTGGAGGCCAGCGCTACCAGTTTGTAAGTAGGTAGAAGTAGGTAAAAGAAGGAAGGGAACCGACAGACGAGTCTGCCGACGAAGCCTTCCTCCTGTTACCCACTAGATTTCAGCAGGTACATGAGACTGGCCCAGTCCCATATCCCGCGATACCACCCAGCTTCGTTGGTCAAGGTTGGTGATATCGCGCTTCGACACCCTGCTGAAGTAAAGAAAGCAAAAACAAATTCGAAGGAATCCCTGTGACTTGAAGGGTTACACACACACACACACACACGCCTCCAACGAGGGGAGGCCCTGTTTATATCGCTGATGGAGGGGAAACCAAGTGCACAGGGACAACCAATGAGCCACACCTCCTTGTCACAAACCTCGGCCACCTAATACCTCTTTGAAATGTACGGGTGCACGTATACACAATAAGGGCCGGACCGATGTGCGCGCAAGAGAAGAAAAGGGTGAGGATGACGGGACACGAAGACAGAAAGGACATGAAAGAAAAGAACGAAAAGAAGTCTGCAGGGGGGCAATGAAGAGGGAACCAAATGAAAGGGCCCAGCCGATGACCAGCCAAACCTCATTGAAGAACCTGTTGTAAATGCCTCGTTTGTTTGGAGGGGTAGGGAGAGAAGAGGGGAAAGAGGAAAAGAAAAAAGAAACGACGATGTTCCCAGCTACGACACAAGCGTCCAAGGACACACCAAGAGAAGATGAGAAGGGTTCCCAGCTATGACGGAAGCATCCAGGGACACCCAAGCAAGAAATAGAGGGGGAGGGAAAGAAAGAGAAACAAGAGAGAGAGAGAGAGAGTGTCGTGTACCTGAGTGTTGCATCCAGGAACACCCCAAGAAGCAAAGAAGGAAGAGAGGGAAGGGAAAGGGGAGGAAAGGGATTAAGGCCCCGACAGGTCCCAATGCACCTTAAAAAAGCTTTGCCGCTCTCGTCACCTTGTGCCACGCCACAATGGCGGGCAGCTTGAGTCTGCTGTGGGCACGTTCTGGCTTGCTCGAAAGCTGCCTACTTAGTTTCAATAATCCATCGAGTCTTGGCAAGTAACTGTGGCGTAAGCCACCTACGCTCGCTGCGAGCTGCTCTGTATCCGGGCAGGGGATACGTTCGACAAACCCGCGCTCCTCGGGCTCACCCTGGGCTGGCATGAAGCCAGACACACTTATAGAAATGCGTGTGATTGCGGTTGCCACACGCCAACCTAGGTTCAAAAAATGGCTTGCGTAAAACGGCAAAGGTAGGTTAGAGGCCATCGCTAGGAAGTTGGAGGCCATCGCCCAAGTTTGGAGGCCATCCAAGCAACAAGGTTAGAGGTCCTCGCTAATGGGTTGGAGGCCATAGTGCCAGGTGTGGGGCCATGTGAGCGTGTGTGAGCGTGTGTGAGTGAGAGTGAGAGTGAGAGTGAGTGTGAGAGTGAGAGTGAGAGTGAAAGAGTGAGTGAGTGTGAGAGTGAGTGTGAGTGTGCGTGTGCGTGTGCGTGTGCCTGTGAGTGTGAGTGTGAGTGAGTGAGTGAGTGAGTGAGTGAGTGAGTGAGTGGCGGCCACGAAAGCACTATAAATAGAACGAACTAACTATATAAATTGTTCAACAGAAAATTGAAAAGCCTGCCTTGGGCCTACTTCAGGTCGGCAAATAGTGCAGTGGTTTGTGCCAGCATGCTGCGTGTATCAAGCAAGGCCATGGCCAGAACTGGAAGAGAAAGCGGCTAAGTGCACACAAAATGTTCATTTGACGCGGTAGCATGCGTGTGCGCGTGTGAAACAACCACATGCAACCGCAGTTTTTCCAAGACTCCGAGTACCTCTAAACCAATTTTTTTCCAGACTGCGCCTCTCTGAATCCAGGGAGCTGATCAAAGGCGCTACTGGAAGTCCGTTGCTGGAGCCGCACGTGCCGGAGACTTTGGCGACTGATGTTCGTGACAGGTGTTGATGAGACAGCGGCAAATGTACAGTAACGTGGGGAACGTGTGTATTTAGTGAGGTTTCGTAGGATGTGAGATGGTGGTTGTACATGGCCACATGTCGTTTGTCACATGGAATTTCGTTTTGCACAGGCAAAACTTGGTTCCTCCACTCCTGGTATCGTTGTCAATGATGGAGAACGGTGCTTTGCAGTGAAAACCCCAGAGGTTTGTCAGATTTTTTTCGACGCAAGTGCTGCCACAGCTCTGAGGTATTACCAGTTTCACATCAGTGCAGCTTCGGAAGAGAAGGGCAAGGAGAGCACCCCCAATCAGTTCAAAGCCCATGGATGCTATGCTGCTATGCTTTACTTAAAGTGTTCCCTGGCATTTGTAGTTCTTTTTGTTTCAATCTGAACGCCATTGTTGCTTGTGGCTTGCCATTTCCTCAAGGTGCCACATGTTTTGCAGCACTGCACTGCTCAATAAATTCTCGCCAAATATTAGCAAAGTGTGTCGGGGTGCTGCTAAAAGAGAACAAATACGACAGGATGAGTGGTGATTGGGTTTGAATGCCACTTCAGCATTATGTTTAGCATGGAGTTGTTTGATAATGTGCCATCAACGACAGAGACCATTTGCGAACAAGACTTGAATCTTCTGGCAGCAGGGTTTGAAGAAGACTGTATATAACGTTTTTGTGGAGAGTCTGGATCAACATGATATGATTGTCAACACGAAACACACGAACACAAACTGATCCAACAGTTGCTGCAATTTGGTGTAACCATTCCATACCAGAGCGCTCGCATACTATATACATTTAGGTTACCTCAGCGGTTATATGCTTAAGACTGCAACCTTCTCTGACCTTTTTCATCAACGAATCATCATTCTACCAAAACTGGTCTTGCAAAGGAGCTGGAGGCTGCTCGAATTTCTAACTCTCGCGACAGCGAATCTATGAAATTGTCAGGTCCCAAGCCCTTCACCACATGAGTGCATCACGTTCAGCACTGTGTCATTTTGCTGTTGGGTGCGGGGAGTTTACTAAAGTCTGCTTTGATGTTTGCAACCCTAGGATAAAGCAGCTTATTCCTTTCATCAGCAAGGAGGTTGCTGATGCTCTAGCTCCAAGGCCCAGGTTGGTTTGGGTGAACATGATATGATGAAGTTTTTGAATGTGGTTCAGGACTCGAGATTTGCTTCAGCGAGGGGTTGGCGAGAAGCTTAGGTATCACTACAATTTATGGTTTTGCTTTCCTTCGTTCTTTGCTTTGTGCCAAACCAAGGCGCCAACACAAGAGTTGGTGTTTGCGATTTTTGGGTTGCAGTTTGTGCAGAGAGACCAAGTTCCGTGGAAACAGGCGCTGGCAAGCAAAGCTCTTAAATTTGTATACAAATCTTTTGCTGTTTGGTCGCATATAGCTTCACAAAATATGTAGAGACATGAGGAATAATATGGCCCAAGCCTCAGAGAATCCCATTTGAAGGACATTATATACCTGAAAAAAGACATGTTCCATACTCTGGACTATAGACCTTAAAAATATCATGCATGCCATTTAGAACACCTTTGAAGCACAGTTGCAGCCTGCGCAATGATGATCTCCAGTGTCCACGCTGGTCCTCCACCGTGCCGTCTCATTCGACCACATGCTTTGGATTCTTCGCACTTCACCTTCCAAAAAATTCGCCTGTCGGCAACTTCAGGAGCTCAAAGCCGCAAGCGTCGTATTCCCATAGCAATCATGGTGGATGCAGCAGCTTGGTTCTTTCTGCGCTTCTTCACGATTGTGGTGCTCGGAGTGCCTGTGCAATCTATATTGAAACATCCGAAGAGTATGGATGCACCTTGGATTTGGTCTTTCTGGTTCCGTCTACCCATCGTTGTGGGTTTTGGATATGGAATCTATCCATGGTGGTCTTCAAGATGCAGAGAGATCTTTCAACCAACGGGAGATCTGCTTTCAGGGGTGTCTACCGTCTTTGCACCCTTAACGGCGCTGCTTTATGCCGCATTGGCAGGCTATGCAGTTGTGTCTTTGTGGAGCAGGCTTGAGAAGGTTCGCTCCTCACTGCACCAGGAATTTGCACTGCTCGAAATACTGGAGAAGAGAATTCCGAAGGAGTCCGAAGATTTTGACTCATTTGTTCAGTTGAATCAGTTGAAGTCAACTACAGTCAGACAAAGAAGCCATGGCAGAAGAGACCACACCTGAATTTCTGGCAGGATGATGCAAAGTTAAAGAAGCACTTTCAAGATCATGTCGATGGGGTCGAACAGTATGAAGTTCAACGGCACCTTGGAACACATGGAACATTCATGGCAAAAATGTGTTCTTGTTTTGACTCCACAATTGTTCATGCGGTTCATGATCATTGCATGATTCAGACCTTTCATGACTTGCACTCACATGAAGACCTTCAACTGCTAAAGGATGAAATAGAAATAGCATGTAGCACTAAATGCAACTGGACAGATCGATGCCCCAATTTGCTTCACGGAGTGTTGGCTGTTTTGCTTGGCTTGGCAGAAACACTGTGAACTCCTTATTGCCTCTTTTTTCAGGGGTGTTCCAGCACCATCTCGATTCAATCATTTGGCAGAACTAGCAGCTGCACCGGCTTTGGCGGACGTAGTTGCACAGCAAGAGATCCGAGAAATTGCCAAGGCGTTTGAAGTACTTTTCTTTTTCCACTGTGTCCAAGAGCAAGCTGTGCAAGAAGAAAGGTCAAAACTGTGTCCAAGTGCATCCGAAAGGTTCGAGCAGAACGTCGGGCAGCAGAAGACATTTGTTTCCCAACAGATCCTTGGACAAAAACCAAAATCCAAAACTCCTTCCACTGCGTTTGATGTCTCAAGGATAAGAGCAAAGTTGAAGCCAAGTTGCACATGTTGGGAGCCGTTTACACATCACATTGGGAAACATGACATGTGAATGGCAGCTTTGTCCGAATTACTTCCGGATCACAGAGCAACTGCGTGCTTGTTGAGCTGAGGTTGTTTGGGCCAGCTTGCGGCTGCTCACAGTGTTGCTTCTGACAGCCTTCGCGCTGCTATCGGGTCGATCTGGCTCTGTTGCAGGATTCGTCCGGCGAATTTCTCATCAATAGATGTTCAATTCTTAAACAGGTTTCTAAATTCAGATGTGAACAGTGTGAACACATTCTTCAAGAGGCTTCAAAGATTTCCAACCTCGCAGGACAAGGAGAGCGCATCCTCTTCTCGCTCCTAGTAGTGGTGTTGTTTTGGGTGAACCACCTTTGTCTGCCGCTCAGCAATAGGGTCGGAGTAGTCTCGATATTTTCTTTTGATCGTGGACCCATCGTTCAGGTCGAGATCTTGTGGACCTTTGTGGAGGAGACTTTCAATTGGACGTGGACGAGTTGAGGCCGGAGTTTATACACAACTTTTTCCTGACCCCCAAAAAGTAATTACGTAACATTCATTAACTTGTTTTGGGTAACCCTTGGTATGCTTAGGCACTCTATGGCCGAAAATAGCCTCAGCTACTCCGGGTATGCTTACGCAGTTGGCCGGCTAGGGTCCGGCAGCATGCAAACACATAAATGCCAAGTCACAGGTGATTAGAAATGATGTTTTGCAGAGGCCAAGCGTGCAACATGTTTGCATGATAGGGGGTCACTAATGGTGTCAAATGAGGCTCGCTGAAGTGATTTTTTTGCGTCTTCTCCCTTGCTGGAGGTGATTTCTGAGCCCAAAAATGATGTTTTGCAGGGGCTCAGCGCACACATGTTTGTGTGATGGGGGTGTCATTGGTGATCTTTTGATTGCCACGTAGGGTCAGGAAAGCATCAAAAAAGCGGCTTGGTGATGCAAGTGATGTAAATGACGCCGAGTAGTGCATCATTAGCATCACGAAGGGGTCTGGAGACCATTTTCCTTGCTTTCTGGAGCATCATTCATTAGCAGAAAGGTCAGGTAGAATGTCAGAAGGTTTGCTAGAGAAAATGTCAGAAGCTTTGCCAGATAAAATGTCAGAAGATAGTCCTGGTGGGGATCATTCAAATTGGGGATCACTCGAAATAAGTCCTTGAATTTGTTTGTAGAGCTTTCTTCTTGTACTTTGATCTTTGAGAAAAAGCACCCGACGACCAAAAGAGTCGAAAGGGCTGGACACCACGGAGGGAGCCCATGCATGACAAACCACCCCCAGAAGAGAATGTCAGAGGATTAGGCAGATAAACTGTCAGAAGATAGTCATGGTGGGGATCACTGGAAATGTCAGCAGATAGTCATGGTGGGGATCACTCGAAATAACTAAGTGATTTTTCTGTGGCCGTCATCAGCAGAAAGGCCAGGTAGAATGTCAGAAGATTTGCCAGAAAGCATGCCACAAGATATGCCAGAAAGAATGTCAGACGATTTGCCAGATAAGTGGGGATCACTGGAAATGTCAGAAGATAGTCGTGATGGGGAACGCTCGAAACAACTAAGTGAATTTTTCTTCTGTGGCCATGTGTGGAAGACACGGTGTTCACAGTTTCTTTTGGACACGGTGTTTTCGATCCTCTCGCCAAGACGAGATGCTGGACTCTTTCGGCGGCGTCAACTTGCATGAATGAAGTGGATGGCCGAATGACGGATGTGTAGACTTCAAGCGTGAGACCATTTGAACGACATCAAAGCGCTCAGGCGCGTCTGTTTCTGGGCCTCTCTAAGTGCATCTATGGCGCTCAGATAGGTCATTTCAATCCGTTTCAATCTGACACTCAGCAGAAATTGCATGCGCAAAAAGAGGAAGATTCTACTCAGTGCTTCTATTCAGAGAAATGACAAGTCAATGTGTTGATGTTGAATCATTGAAAGGTGGTTCTGTTGCAGCAAGCCCTAAGCTGAGACAGTGAAACGCTGGACGGAACATTGACTACAAGCAAATGTTTGATGTTGCAATGTTTTGCATAGCTTTCAACTTAGCCGCTTTTAAGATATGCTTCGATCTACTGCTGGTGCTCTTCTTGATCCCTCGAGGGAGGCAGATGGATGTAGACACAATGGAGGATGCATAAGCAAGAGATCAGCAGAAGGAACCAAAACTGTCAACGCCCCTCTTGCACTTCAGGTGAGGAGTGCTGCTGCATCTTGCTTTGCAAGCTTCGCACGAAGGAATCCACCACAAGAGCTGACAAAGGCTCCAAGCCAAGCTTGCGAAAACGGGACCTGCACATTTGAACATGAATGATGCCTGTAGGCATGACTTGCTTTGTAGCTACATGTAGGTGCAGCCTGATTTCTTTTAACCGCACATATATATATATATATGGTAGAATGCCCCCATGAATAAACTCAGGGCAGGTGTCTCTTCCACCGCAGCATCGGGGCTCAAAGTGGGTGTTGATGGGAGGGGGTGGAGACCCTCTCCCAATTTGCGATAGGTGCCGTCATTTTGTGGTCCGGGAGGCAGGACTACAGACTTGCGGCCCCTGTCGAAAGGGGTATCAGCTTCAGGTGTCACTTCGGTCGGTGCTGACACCTGACAACGACGAGTTGGCCGTGGCTTTCTTAGAAGGCTGCTTTGGGTTGCTTGAGGATTGGCTTGTTGAGTTGAGAGGCATTGAGGATCGCGAGCAGCAGGGAGATAGCAACCGAGGAGCAGCCCGCCGAGAAAGACCAGGACGAAGAGAGGAGAGACCCCGAGATAGATCCCTTGAGAGAAAGAGAGAGCCCACCGAAGACGAGCCCTTGAAGCGAAAAATTGTTGACAGCCCGCAGAAGAGAGGAAACGCGGCCCATCCAACCAGCCCAGTAAAGGAATCAAGTACAGCCCAATTTTTTGAGCCAGTTGCCCATCTGTTTCCAGCCGAGTGTCACCTCCACCCAAAGCACCACCTACTGTTGCACCAGCCAGAGCCAAAGCGAGTGTTGCGCTTGTGGAAACCTCCCAATCCAGTGCACCAAGGCCCAGCAAAAAGGAGCAGGAGGAGTGAGCCACAGGTCTTGAACCTGGCCCCCAAGGCAAAGGAAATGCAGGCGAGACTGCGATTTGACCCGGTCCGGCGCAACCCTCTGCGGAGATCGTGTCGAGTGCGCGAAATGCAGGCGAGAGTGCGATTTGACCCGGTCCGACGCAACCGTCTGCGGAGATCGTGCGTGTCGAGCGCGCGAAATGCAGGCGATTCTAGTACAACTTTAGCGCGCGGAGTATGTGGGGAGCTGGAAGATGAGAACTGGCGAAGTTGTAGTACAACTTTAGTACGCGGGGTATCTGGGGAGCTGGAAGATGAGAACTGGCGACTTTGTAGTACAACTGTAGTACGCGGAGAGAGAACTGACGACTTTGTAGTACAACTTTAGTACGCGGAGTATCTGGGGAGCTGGAAGATGAGAACTGGCGACTTTCTAGTACAACTTTAGTACGCGGAGTATCTGGGGAGCTGGAAGATGAGAACTGGCGACTTTGTAGTACAACTTTAGTACGCGGAGCAAGGCGTGGAGGAAGCTGTGGAGCTGGAAGCTGAGAACTGACGACTTTGTAGTACAACTTGAGTACACGGAGTATCTGGGGAGCTGGAAGATGAGAACTGGCGACTTTCTAGTACAACTTTAGTACGCGGAGCAAGCTGTGGAGCTGGAAGCTGAGAACTGACGACTTTGTAGTACAACTTGAGTGCGCGGATGAGTCATCTCTCGCGGCTGCTCTGGCGCCCTTGCAGCTGAGTCATGTCTCCCGACCACCCGGCTCTCTTGAGAGGTTGACAAAATTTAGCTACTTTGCTTACTCATAAGCGGCTGCCACAAAAGAGTCATCGTGACGTTCGTATGTGTGTACTTCACCTTCATGACAAACGATGTTCGCTTGGAATACACGAGTCGCTTGTCATGATCGTGACGTCGTTCAGGTCGCCCTGTTCGTGGAAACTTCAGTGTGAAATGTACGTTCTTCAGTTCTAGTTGAACCTCTTCAGCGTTGTGCTTGCACGGCTAATTAAGGTGGACGTTGCATTGCCGTTGCATCGACGCATATACGTCTACACCCCCTCACCTCTCTACATTTACATCTTTCACGCGCTCACATCCGCAGATCTACCTCTCCACCTCACCACACCCACGCATCTGCGCATCTATATCACATCTGTACATCCACACTGTCGCTCCTTCGCATCTGTCCCGTCTTTCTTTCTTTCTACATATCTTTTCTCTCGTCTCTGTGCATTTACATCTTCGCACGCTCACATCCACAGATCAACCTCTCCACCTCCATGCGTCTACAGATCTATATCGCACCTGCGCATCACACTGTCACTCCTTCACATCCACCCTCTCTTTCTCTCTTTCTGTACATCTTTTCGACAGCGCTGGACAATTACATGTCTCGCTCTCGGGCCAACCGGCGTCTAGTTTGGACTTCTGCGCACTGGTGAACTTTTAAAGGTCCAGGCCAAAGACGTATATCTCACTAGTTCTCGAGGACCGGCGGTGATTTCACTTGGTTTGACGAAATCCGGAGCCCGCCAAGGAGCGGCAGAGTCCGTTACCTTGTATGATACATCAGTCGTCCCTTCTTTATACCATGCCTGGAGGCGCCTTTTCAACCAAGCTCTGGAGGGAATGGGGCTGAGCTCCTTTGGCTTTAGGCCACACTCTCTGCGTAGGGGGGGGGCTACTTTTTCTTCCAGCATCACGGGAGTTTTGATAAACTCCTCGTTCAAGGCCGTTGGGCGGCCGCGAAAACCGCACGAATTTATTTGAACGAAGGCCTAGCCCAGTTAGCCGAGATTAGTGTCCCTAATTCGCGTCTGCGGTATTACATTTCCTTGTACTGTAAGCACCCGATCCTTGAGCCTGGGACCCGGAAGGCTCCCAGAGCAGGGGGACGTGGAAAGGCTTCGAAAATCTCTGATTTTTCGCTGTTCAAAGGGTTTGGGAGAGTGAAGATTGACTAGGTAGACCCTCTCAGATGCGTTCGGGCTCATGGAGCGCCGGTTTGGCGGCTGCGGCCATGGGGGGCACAGGGGGGCGCCCCCTCTCCTCTGGTTTGGCGGGGAGAGTGGGGCCCCGACCCCGACGCCCCGACAGGTTGGTAGATTTTATGTTGAGTTCCGTTTTATCTGACAAGAATGCTGCAACTACTGGAAAAAGAACCTGCGACTGAGTTATATATATATATTGCATAAGCAAGAGTGAGCAGCATGGACAACGGTGTGCCTTCATGCTCTCATGTCAACCTTCCATGTCAAAAGGTGAGTGCACACAGGTTCACCCATATTGGACTCCCCCTTGAGGTCTTTGACTTCAATCAGCTCAAGACCCTAACCATCGTAGTTGTCATTCAAGAACTCAAAGCTCCTGCTGCATCGGCCCGGGGCTCCTGGGGCCCGGAAGGTAGGTGTGTTCACCACAATTCTGCCTCGCTCCCCAGCTCCACCGCGAGCGTAACCGCGTTGATGCCCAGAGTTTGGCGCCGACTGGTCGCTCTGGAGACTACAATCCTGGGCCATCGCAGACTCAGGAGTAGAGTAGTCTGTTGGTGTTGGTGGTGGTGGTGGTGGTTGGCAGTGTCGAGGACAACGTGCCACTGCCACTCGAGCTGCCACCCACAGCCGCGCTTGCCATTCCAAAAGTTTGAAGGCAGAAAATCATGAGGAACGCGTGAAATTTTCGTGCCCAAAGACTGGACCTCAACCGCCAGCTCCCATTGCAGTGGGCCGGACTGGCCAGAGAGAGAGAGCCAGAATATGCCACATGGAAGGTCATAAACTGTTCCAGATATACTGCCAATGTAGGCTAGATTAACTGCCAGAGCATTTGCCAAGTAAAATGCAAGATAGAATCTCAGCAAAGATAGACCATTAGACGGAGCTTCACACATCCAATTAACTAAGCTGGGTGTCGGTATCCTGCTTTTAACCTTTCTGTTGGACTCCACGTTGTTGTTGCGCACGTGCCAAAGTGACGTGTAGAGACATCCTGCGGCCTTCATCCCGGCAAAGTGGCAATCGGCTTTGAATGGCCGTAAGCGATCCGCGTTCGCCAGTGGTCAAAGGTCTGTGCTTGCCATGGAGATGTGATGCTCGCCATGCTTTGTAGACATGCAAATGGCAAAGGGGTCGCTGGAGGTTTCCGACCGGAGATCTGATACGCTTCTACGCGTCGACGCACGGGCGCGTCCATGCTCAGACATCTCGCCAAGCTGGGTACGCTGGGCATACGTCGAGCTACTGGCCTGTACAAAGAGAATGTATACACAGATTCTGTGAGACGCAGAAGAATCCAAGAAAGTGAACAAGCATCCAACCAAAGTGAACCAGGAATTCCTACTTAGAGGAGGGCAACGAGCAAAGAGAAAGCAAAGATGGCTTTAGTACAAAGTATATATATATATATGCAAAGAAACAACCATTCTTTGGACTCCCTTCATCGAGAGTTGATTCACGGAGCTTGGGTTCGAGGGAAAAGCATCGCATTTTGACCAATCGCTTTCCGCCATTTGCCATCGTTCGTGATCGATTCCCATCCATCAGTGCTTGAGACCTCCGGCTGCCGTGCATGGTAGCGGAGCCTGCGGGCTCCGCCGCCTGTACGGTTTTTAGTCTGTGACCGCAGAGCGCCGTTGCAGAAGACATGGCAGACCGAGGTATGCTTCAAGTCGAGCGTACAAAAGAAGGAGTCCCCATTTGGGATGGCAATGCTGCGACCTTTCAAGAGTATTCTGAGTTGGCCTTGCATTGGGAGCAAAGCGTAGCGCACCACAAGCGCTATTTGTGTGGGCCCCGTTTGCAGTCAGAGTTGACCGGAACCGCCCGTCGTTTCGTGATGTCCATGAAGCCCGGCTGGATTTCGTTTTCAGGTGGAGTGCAGAGATTGCTTGATCATTTGAGGCGCCATTTGGGACAGCCTCAGCTGACCGAGATGTCTGAGCATTTGGGCAAGTACTTCAAGCAATCCCGTCGGAAGCGGAATGAGTCGATGAATGACTACATCACAAGGAAAGGTGAGATCTATGCCCGAGCATGTCAGACATTGCAACGAGTTTCTCATCGTTATTCCACCCGGAAAGGCCCAATTGAAACCGGAGGTGCCAACCCGGGATATTCATGGAGCCAGGGGCATTCCTCTGGCCACACAGTGTCGCAAGCAGAGCAGGGGGGTGAGGCCTACTCTCAAGAGAATGAAGATGAGGAGCAGTCCTTT